AAAAAATTTTATATGTAAATTTCTAATTAATTTTAATTTTAATATTAAAAAAATTTAATTTATTTAGTATCGCAAATATTATAACGAATGGATGGCAAATGAAATTCAGCAACTAACTCCTTCAGGCCGCATTCAGCGCCCTTCGTATAGCTTAGTAGCTAATTGAGTAAATATAGCATGGAATCAAGTCGATACTAACCTTATCATATGATCATTAAAATGGTGTGGTATTTCTGTTGTGCAAGATGGATCGGAGAACGAAAGAATTTTTGATTATGATAAAGTAGAAAATCCAGAAAATCAACACAAATATGGAAATTATATATTCGAAAATTCAGAAATGAATAGTAATAGTAAGTATGTTTATAATTAATAAACATGCTTTAAATGTTTTGATTTAACAAACTTAGAGTCAGTTCGTAACAACAAAGATTATTTAGATTTAGATAACTGCGGTAAGTATATTTGTTATTAGATAAAATTATACCTTAATTTAATTAAAGTTAAAAATATTTATAATTTGACAAGACAATAAAAGTGTCTATGATTTAACTCAAGATAATGAAAGTATCTACGATTTAACTCAAGATAATGAAAGTATTTATGATTTAACTCAAGACGGTGAAAGTTCATATAATCTAAGTCAAGATAATGAAAATTTTTATGAATCAACTCAAGACAGCGATTTAATTCAAGGTGCTAGTTTAGCTACGAGTGAAAATTATGATGAAGAAGTGGATCTGTTTTATGAAAATGAAATGGTCGAATATGAAAATATTTGGGACTAGAAATAATATAGAATTAGGTTGACAGATAGTAGTGTTTTAATATGCAAATAGAGGAAGTCTTTATGACTTTTTAATATCAAATTTTAGAGAATTTATATAAAAAAGTAACTCACGAATATATCAAAGATTTAGCACAACTTTATAATAAATTTATACTACTACTATTAAATAAATCGATATATATTTTATGATTACTGGTAATTTTAGTTTTCTATATAAAGTACCCCCCGGTACTAGAGACCCGGGTCTTTTACATTCAACCAAATAAATAACCCGTGATATAGACCCGGGTACAATAGTGGGGGTCTACTACCATGGGGTCTTTTATATGGCCATTTACAGTACTAATCGCTATTGATTGCTATCTTGTTTATGTGATACTAATCGCTTCTAATTATTACATTGTTTATGCAACGCTATTTTTAGACATTTAATTAGATCGGGATTATGCATATCCCCGATCACAATATTCGATCACGTACCTGATCACTAGTTACATGGGTATCACTACAAGTACATGGGGCATTAAGAAACACTGCAACATATGAGCTCGACCCAAGTACTTCGTCCTTGAAGTTCAACCTTCCTCCACAACAATTAATCTGCATTATCCAACTTTCTCCACTCTCTTAATATTTCCAACAAACCTATCATCTTTGAGTTCATCATTGCAACCAAATTCAATAGTGCCTCTATCTCAACATTAATCATCTCTTCGGCACCATCTCTGTCCTCAGGCTTTTGATAATTTGTGAATGCCTTATGTTTATCTTTTTCAATTCCATTTTCGTAACAAAGTTCACTTTTGTGTATTTCATCAGCATGATCCATCTTTGCTAATTTTTGATAATGAACTAACGTCTTATGTTTATTCTTTTTAGCAATATTTTTCTTTTGATAACAATATCCTGGTTTATTCTTTTATCAGCATTTCTCATTTCCGTAGTTCGCTAACATTCCTTGAATTCTTCATGTTTTCTCTTTTCTAATATAATCAATCGTACCAGAACAATTTGAGTCTTAGGGTTCTTTTTTTTTCGATTTGGACAATCACATGCTTTATGCCCTGGACAATGACATTCGTAGCATAGTCGTGGACTTCAATGCTTGTATCAGTAAGTTTTATATTTCTGAACTACACAATGGCTTTTTACAGCCTTATTTACTAACAAATTAATGTTCTCAATGACCTCCTTTACAGGGTTTGTTATTTCTGCCAACCATTTGTTTATACCAATTTTGATTCTACATGATTCCTCATTCAAAGGTACTTTACCTTTTACTTTAGTAGATTTTTCATTACTGTTCAATGCTTCGAAGGCCTTTCTTTTATCATATTTGTTCTCCTTCATATATGCTTTAACCCTTAGAGTGCACTTCTTTGCATCCTTATACATTTTGGAACAATTGTGATTCACTTCTTTATAATACTTTTCGTTTAAGCCTTTTATGTACATTCGCTTTATTTCAGCTTCCCTGCGAATATATCCTTTCGCCACTATCACTTGAGCTTCGAATCAGTTAGTATAACATACAATTGATTCATCTTTGCCTTGTTTTATACTTATCAACTTGATTAACTTTAAGTCCCTATCGTATGACGTTTTTACCTTCCTTTTTATTTTAAACTTTAATTCATTCCAACTCTTGGTTGTCTATATTAGGTCTCTAACCCATGGCCTTAATTGTTCAGCAACATGTCGGCTCACCACAAGCTTCATACAAGAATTGCTTCATCTTTTGGATGCCGAATATGCTTCGAAATCAAACAAGAAATCATCCACGTCTTCTTCATTGTCACCATAGTAATATGATACTTGAAGGTTAATGATTTTTATAGTCTTTTCAGGTAAGTAAACGTTTTTTTCAATGTCTTTACTTTAAATTCCAACAAGAGAACCTTCGCTTGCCCAGGTCCTTTATTTCACGAAGTTTAGCAACACTACGTGTACTACTTTAATTTACTATCAGTCTTTAACCTTGCTTGGCCTA